CTAGTCGCTGACTAACTTGCGTTAATCGCACAGCGTTACGCTATTTTTACGAGGAATTCAAGAAACACGAGATGGTTGAGGAATCGGAACAGGTGAGTTACGAGCTGCTCGGCGTAGTTCGATGTCGTAAATACTGCAATCCGTATAATCTCTCGGATGTGTGTCCCAAAAACAGTTACCGCCGATCGACGTGAAGGAGCCGCTGGACCTCATAAAGCTGAGCCTGGAGGAGCGGATCTACGTGAAGATGAGGAACGAGAGAGAACTCCGTGGAAAATTGCACGTAAGAAACTTTTTCCGTTGCTCCGTCTATTTAGAGCTGCAGCGATGCAAGCGATTCAAAATACAAGCGAAAGTCTCCGAATTCTTACGTCTCAACGCAATTACAGGCCTTCGATCAGCATCTGAACATGGTGTTGGGTGACGTGGAGGAGATTATAAACATAGTGGAGATCGACGAGGAGACGTACGAGGAGATCTACCGCCAGAAGAAGAGGACCATCCAGATGCTGTTCGTGCGTGGCGACGGTGTCATCCTAGTATCTCCGCCTACGTAAAATCGCCGCGACATTCCGTACAGCGTCTCGTGTGTGTGCGAAGCTATAAATATTTTCTGCGTAATTTATAATTCTGTTTCGTTGATGTCCGAAAGATTTATACAGTACTGGGCACCTGAAAGATCCAAGAAAGATTTTGTGGCAGTGCTCTATTTCTGTATTATACTATATACATATTACCACACGCTGTAATCGCATGTGTAATTGTAAGATGAATGGCCCAACTAGATGATAATAAAAAGTGTATTCTTTTGTACGTGGTACATGTGTAAAAAAAAACACGAACACGCTGTGCGTCGTGTAATAGCTACAATCGGGAGAGCGCGCGACGCCGGTTTCTCGACCAGGTTTATTGCGACAGTTTGGTGGTGACGCGCGGTTTCGAGATTCCGCTGCCGATAACGTGAGGACGCGGGGTAGCGACGTTCCGTTCGACGGGCAGCCTTGTGATCTGCGTCGTGAGGTCGTCGATGCGTTGGTCCTTCAGCTTCATTATGCTTTCCAGGTGCGAGATCTTCTGCTGCAACGTGGAGATCGTGTCGTTTTTCTCCTGCAGCTCCTGCTTCAGGCGAGTGAAAATGTGCCGGGGGACAGTCTTGTTCGCTACCTCGTCAGGATTTAGCACGGACTTTACCGCCTCTATATTATTGTGCATAAAAATTAAAAAAAGTAATTTGGGAGAAAATGATTGAGGCGGAATCCAAAAATAATTTGTTACAGTTCAGTATAGCCACCTTTGCTGTCCTCGTGGCCGAAGTACAGGGACTCTCTGTCGGCGTTCGAGTCCTTCAGGATCTTGACTCGTAGATCGGCGAGGACTTTCTCGATGACGCCCGGCTGGGAACTCGCCAGCTGACCAATAGCCTCCTTACCCAGCCTCATATCGATCTTCGACAATACCTTGCGATTCAACGTGCTCCAGTTGTCGATCTTCTTCGCGACGCTGTTGCCGGCGACGTAATTGTGCACGTCCACGTGTTTAGGATAGTAGCGTTTCAACAGCTCCGCCATCAACACTGGAGAGTTCGATCATAGCGAATTAAATTTTCTGCAGCGTTATTCCTGAAGGCATTGTATCCCGGAAGATCGGTCGATCTTTCGCGGAAGAAGAATCGACAAATGAATTTATATGAGAAGATCATAGGATTTCGCTCGTTTACCTCCGTCAGAAAAGTCTCTGGCTATGTTTCTTTTGGGCCTGGAAAACTTGATTTGATCGATCCAGTCGTAGATCTCGTCGAGATGATCACCGGTCTCCGAGTTCGCGCTCATGTTCACTGCGACGCTTTTGGCGGCCCGCACACTAACGAGATCATGAGCTCGTGTGGGGATAATGAAAGAACACGAGGGGAAGAAGGAGAGAGAGAGAAGTCTCTGTTACATATATTAAAAATTTGCAAATGCGGTCGACATTTTTTTTCATCTTACACACTCAATATTCATTTGAGCCTATCTTCAGGGTCTCTTGGATAAACAAATTCTGGCATTCGGCTTCAGAAAGTCCAGAAATATGATACACGATACACATCAAGGAGAGTCACGACCGATGAAGTATCAGATAAAAATGAAAATCTCGAGTTTGGAGAGAGGATTTTCATTCGTAAAACTTTCGGAAAGGTCAAGCATGAACAGTCGCGTCATTCATGAGTAATCGTTATCGTTATATTCAAACTTCTTAATGATTACGTTTTTCGTAATCGTTACTGTGATATTGCTCAATAGCTTAATTATTCCGTCATACAACTTGTCGATTGACAAAGCAGTTTTTAATTTTTTTTCCTTGCT